TCTTCTGCAGGATCTGCAGGAAGCTCTTTGGCTGCTTATTGTCTCTTCCTGGCCTGTTTCCCTCTATGAAAGTTCTGATGTTTGAAGTTTGCATGTTGCTGTTGGTTGTGTGACCTTCCTCCATGCACCCTCCTGGTTATTTTCAGCCCTTGCTGGTTGCTCAGAGAGCTTCTGTTTGAGGGGTGCCTGCTGTGTCTCAGTGCTGACTGCATGTTGTGTTGTGTCCCTCTGCCCCCTTCCAGCCTTTGTTCCTGCTCCTCCCGTGGCTCCGGTTCCCTCCCCGGCACCGATGCCTCCTGTGCACCCTCCTCCACCCATGGAGGATGAGCCTGTCTCGAAGAAGCTGAAGAGTGAGGACAGCCTCATCCCAGAGGAGGAGTTCCTGCGCAGGAACAAGGTACGGGTGTGTATGACTGCTCACAGAGAAGCACCAGAGAGTGCTGACACCCTGGGCTCTGCAGCCCCACAGGGATGTGAAGCCAGTTCACTGCACGGAGAGGAGCTGGTGTGCACGAGGGAGTGACCTCCTGAGGTGCTGGCATTCCCAAACTGCTGTGTGCCTGGCTGGGAAGAGTGATGCAGCACTCCAGCAGTGTGTGGGGATGGTGCCCTTCTGCACTTGAGGGCAGGGAGAGGTGGGTTTATGGTAATGCAAAGAAGAGCTAAAGGTGCTTATAAGGCTTTAAGAACTGCTGAGCTGGAGGTGGAAGGAGATTCAATATCTCGGTGTCAGCATGACTGTGGTGATGTGAGTATTCCGTAACAACACAGACTGGGTGTTACACTGAACCTTCTCCTGAGGGCTGCCATCAGCATGCGCTGTCCTGAGTCCTTCAGGAGGGCTGTGAGTGCCTGTGGTGCCTGAGGAGAGGGAGGCATGAGAGAAATCCAGCTGAATGCTTTGTTTTGGAAGCAGTGAAGGCTTTTTCCCATCATTGAGGCTTATGTTTACTGGGAGCTGAAGATAGTGCCTGGTCTTGGGAGCAAACACCGTGCCTGGTGCTCAGTTATCGCGGTACAGAGCCTCCTCACCTTGAGACATTATCTGTGTTTCCTCCAGGGCCCGGTCACGGTCAAAGTCCAGGTTCCCAACATGCAGGACAAGACTGAATGGAAGCTGAACGGCCAAGTGCTGGTGTTCACCCTGCCCCTCTCGGACCAGGCATGTAGCACATGGACCTGGCTGCCCCCTTCCTCCCCGTGCTCCGAGCCTCTTGCCTTGGGGAGCAGCGTCTGACCTGATGGTGGGAGCTGTAAACCTCGGGATGCTCCCCAGGCTGTATCCTCCCGTGAGGGGGTGTGTGTGGGGAGCAGTGGGTACACCCATACAACAGGGAAAACCCCCTGAACAAGCTCTTTGCTTCTCCCCAGGTGTCTGTTATAAAGGTGAAGATACACGAGGCCACGGGGATGCCGGCTGGGAAGCAGAAGCTGCAGTATGAGGTGGGTTGAAGCCCTTGGAATGCTGCTTGTTAATGGCAGTGCTTTCTCACACACAAACCGACTTTTATCAGAGGAAGTTGGTAATGCACCTCCTGGGGTGCTGCAGGGAGCAGAGGGAATCATGTTCCTGGCTGTGCAGCACCTTCGAATACAGAACTGCACAGCAGGACTAGCTTTGAATAGGTGGCATCAGTGGACTGTTGAGTTGTTGCTGCAGCAGATGAATCCTCTGGGCTTGGTGCCTTTCTCTGAAGTCAGCCTCTTCTTTTACTGGGGCAAGTTGGCAGTTCAGTGTGTCAGTCTCCTCTTGCAGGCCTGTTGTATGTGCTTGGGAAGGTGGATGAGAGCAACTTGGACGCCCTGAGAAGGCCTCCTCTGGCCTCACTCCAGCAGCTCCACGTCCCTCTTGTGTTGTTGCCCCAGAGGTGGACACAGGACTGCAGGGGGGGTCTTGTTTCCAGTCATGCACAGGCACAACCTGCTGCCTGAGCACTGAACTTTGTACGCTTGGGTGTTCATCTGTGGGCAGATGTGTTAACCCTTGGTGAGAAAGGAAGCTTGGAAGCATTCAAGGCCAGGTTGGACACAAGGGCTTGGAGCAAGCTGCTCTAGTGGAAGGTGTCCCTGCCAGTGGCAGGGGTTGGAGCTGGAGGAACTTTAAGTTCCCTTCAACCCAAACCAGGCTGGGATTCTGTGCATCTACATAACTTCACTTGTGATGGTGACTCTGTGTGTGTGTGTGAAGGTATCTGGTGTGTATTGTCAGTTCCTGTATCCCCACCTCCTCCAGTGCTGCTCTTCCAAGACACTGGGATCTGTCCTGGTTTTTCCAAAGCCTGCATTGTTCTGTCACCCCCTGTGCTGTCACCATGGCTGGGAGGGCTTTGGCTCTGGGCTTTTGTGGGAAGGCAGCAGTAAGAGTTCTTCTTTGACTGTTTTTTTTTCTCCTCTCCTCAGGGCATCTTCATCAAGGACTCGAACTCTCTGGCCTATTACAACATGACCAGTGGCTCCCTCATCCACCTGGCCCTCAAAGAGAGAGGAGGCAGAAAGAAATAGGAGCCTTGGAGCCTAGAGGCATAAAGTGGCTGCGTTGCCACTTGTATAATCCCAACCCTTTGAGTCTTCCAGTCTTTTAGGGGCTATTCCCACTGCTCTAATTTGATGAGACAGATGCTGAACCCTGTGTTTGGGGGAGAGGGGAAGTTAAAAGAGCTCTGAAATGTGTAAATGGACTGACCTGGTCTATAAGGTTTTCATGATTTGCTTGAATTCCTTCTTGAAGCAACATTGAGATGGTGCCCAGCTCAGTACATCCATCTTTGAGGGATTTACACTGACCGTCATCTGTCTGAGTGCTGCTTGCTGCTTCACTTCACCTTTTCCTGACAGCTTCTTCCTTCTCAACACAGTTGCCAAGCCCCTTGTTCTTTCCCTGTCTTGGATCCCTCTGCAAGAGCCTCTCAGTTTAACCCTGACTTGGAAACTTGCCCTCCCTGAGCAGGAGTGTTTGGGTCTGTGTGTGTTAAACAGCTTCGTGCTGCTTCTGTAGAGCCTCCAGTTTGTTTTAATAAACACCTCTTGGTGCAGGCGTCTGTCCTGCTGTGGTGCCTCGGGGTTTGGTGGCGTGAATGGAGCTGTGCCTGGCTTCACAGCACTTGCAGGGGCTACATGGATGTACATTGGGGTTTGTCACTTACTGTAGGAAATCCTTGTGTTTTCCAGGAAAGGCTGCAAGACAGGGGTTTGGTTAAAATTCCCCCGGTGATCCGGAGTTACTCCTCAATGTAAAGCACAAATGGGATGTGGAGCTGTTTGAGTGAGTCCAGAGGAGGCCACGGAGCTGCTGTGAGGGCTGGAGCAGCTCTGCTCTGGAGCCAGGCTGAGAGAGCTGGGCTGGGTCAGCCTGGAGAAGAGAAGGCTCCTGAAGGGGAGACCTGAGAGCAGCTCCAGTGCCTGAAGGGGCTGCAGGAAAGCTGGAGAGGGGCCTGGGACAAGGGATGTAGGGACAGGCCAAGGGGAATGGCTTTAACCTGCCAGAGGGGAGACTGAGCTGAGCTCTTAGGCAGAAGCTCTTCCCTGTGAGGATGCTGAGGCGCTGGCACTCTCTGTGATGCTGTGATTTATGCTTTAGGTGTAAACATAATGCACACAAATGCTGCTGTCTGTGTGTGTGGGCAGAAGGACTGCTCTGAATTTAGAGTTTGATTGGAAAAGGGGGTTTGTGCTTTGTGTTGTGCAGCTGCCACCTTGGGCTTGTGGAGATCCTGTTCTGTGCTTCTGTCAGAGCTGTGCTGCAGGCTGATCCACAGACTCAGCACACAAGTTAATGGACAGGTACTGCAGGAGCGGCTGTTGGTGGTGGTGTGGGTGCTTCTCTTCTCCTCTTGGGATAATCCAAAACCACGGATTTATTATTATTCTTAGTGGTGGTCAGGCACTACCACAACATCCTCATTGCCTTACTGCCTGCTAAGGGGAGAGAGATGCAGCATGAGGAGGGATGCACCAGCCTCCTCTGCCCTGGTGTGCTCCTCTGGCCTGGGAGCAAGTCCTTCTGCTCTGGGGAACGTGCCTCGTGGTGGCCTTGGTCCCCTGGCTGTGGTGAGCCCGTGTCAGCATCCTGCCGTTGGGAATGTACTCCTGCCCCACAGCAAAGGTGTGCAATGGCCTTGCTTTGCTTTAAAACACGAGAGGGTCGATGCAAACCGGTGCTAATGTAAAACCAAACTGCAGGAAAGCTCTCAAATGGAGAAGTGGTGTTGGACATCCGGCGTGGGGCTGGGCTTGCAGTCACCCAGCTTTGCTCCTCCAGCTGTGCCTGGTGGGGCTAAGTGCTTTGATGCTCCCTGATCCCACATGTATGTGATCCCGCGTGTGTCTTTGCCACTGCCCTTGTGCTCAGGTGCCATTTTCATCCTAGCAGGGCTGAGCTCCTGGCCCGCTGCTCCTGCAGGAACACTTCCTGCTAGGAATAGTTCAGGTGGAGCCTGGCCAGCCTTTTCCATCAGCGTAAATGGTGGAACGGGACCCTAGTGTGTCTGCCTGGGCCAAACCCATCACTCTCAGCGCTGTCCACGCATGGGGAGGACCCACGTGAAGGGTCTGTAGGTGGGATGGAGCTTGGTGCCTGCTCCCTATGGACCAGCCCTGCGAAAGCTTCACCCAGGGCCTCTCCCAGCCCGTTGCCGTCTCCCGTGTGTCCGTTGCTGCTGTGTTTTACCGGCCGGGGCTGGCTCTGACGATGCTGCCGCTTAGGAAGCCTCAGGGTGAGGCGGCGGCGGGAGCCCCGGGGCTGGGGCAGGATGGGGTGCGATGTGCGCTGCGTGCCGCCGGCTCCAACCGGCCCCGTGTGTGCCCGCTGACAGCCCCGGCGCGGCTCCGCTCCCGCTCCCTGCCCCGCTGCCGCCGCCGCTGCCGCCGCCTCCCTTCGCTGTCACTCTGATTGACAGCTCCCACCCGGCCGCTCAGCCAATGGCGGCTTCTCCCCGTCTCCATCCTTGCGGCTGATTGGCTGCCTGCTCGCTCCCCCCCAATAGCGGCGCGGGGCGGGGCCGTGTCCGGGCGGCTGGGGGCGTGGCCGCCGCCGTGGCCGCGGCATGGAGGAGCGCTGAGGCGCCGCGGAGCCGCCATGGCCAAGAGCCGCGGGCCCGGCTCGCCCGGCGGCCGCCACCACAGCCTGGCCGGGACCCGCGAGAGCCTGGCCGAGCCCGGCGCCGACGAGCTCAGCTCCCTGGGCTCCGACTCCGAGGTCAACGGCGGCGGTCCCGAGGAGCGGCGCGTCGACAAGTTCGGCTTCATCGTGGGCAGCCGCAGCGCCGAGGGGCCGTGAGTCGGACCGGGCCGGGCCGGGCCGGGCGGGCCGCGCGTCAACGGGCGCTCGGTGGAGCGGCTGCCGGCACCCGCAGGGCCGCGCCGCGGGGCTGGGCCGCAGCCGGGAGCGTCCCCCGGGGCCTGTCCCCGGCTCCCCGCAGAGCCCGGCCCCGCGCCCCGGAAGAGCGGCAGCGCCCGGGGCGGGGCGCGGGGCCTCCAGGGGGGCAGCGCCGCGGGAATGGGGCGGGGGGCGGGTCCGGTACCCGCGGCGGGGGGCAGAGCTCGGCCGTGCCCCGGGGGCGCCCGCGGTGCAGGCCGGGGCTGAACCTGAGCCCGCAGCGGTGTTGCGGCCTCTCCTCGGGGTCGGTAACGGGGGGGAAGAGCCGGGAAGCGCCGTGGATCCAACCTCGGGGATCCGGTGCCTCTGGGCCCCTTCTCCTCCGAGCGCCGGATTCCAGCGGGGAAACGGGGGCGGCCGGGGCCGTTGTTGGGCCTTCTGCGGGGGCAGGCGGCAGCGGGGAAGCCCTGGGAGGGAGCCGGGCAGCCCGAGCCGGGGCCGGGAGCAGCCCAGGGCGGTGCTGGCAGCAGGAATGTGCTCGGGGCTGGTTCGGCAGCGTGTTTGTGCGGTGCCTGGCGCGCTTCGCTGCGACGCCCTGGGCAGCGCAAGGCCTGCGGTGGCTGGATGTGACCCGGGTGGTCCGCCCGCTCTGCGGCCCGGGCCTCAGTTTCCCCTCGCACACGGAGCAAAGCGTTTGCCCCTCGGGTGTTACGGGGCCAGACCCTGGGGACAGAAGGCACCGGGGGTTCGCTGCTGGTGCTGGACAAGGTGCATCGCGCTGGGGGATGACCCCTGGCCCTGCTCATGGCTCAGCACCATAGCAGCGGGGTGGCTTCTGCTGCTGCACCCCATCCCGGCAGCACTTCACGTGTCCCTGGGGACGTCCTGGTCCCTGCAGCTTCACCTGCTGGAGCTCCTGGTGTTGGAGGCAAGGGGTTGCTCTGGGCTGCTCTGAGCGTGGTGGCTGCAGTCACTGGGGCCTGAGCCTTCCTCCTGTGCCCCATGGATGCGCTGAGGTCCAATCCTGCCCTTCTCCAGGGCTCTTATCCGCTCTCCATCTGTCCAGGAGTGGATAAGCAGGAGTTCAGAGTCTCCCTCTGCCTTGGCAGAGCTGGGGTCTCTCTGACCGGAAGGGTCTTGGGGAAGCATAGGGAGGGCAAGTGGGAGGTCCCAGCACCCGCGGAGGGTCTGGGGGCACCGGGAAGGGCCAAGCTGTGGGGCTGTCACACGCAGAGGAGCATTCTTCTTGCACAGGGCATCTCGTGTGGGTGCCCCCACCCCGTCCTCCCCGCCTGGGCCATATGAAGTGCCTCTGGTGCCCATCTGTGCCCGCTGCCAGCAGCTGGTAATAGCTTCCACTCGGGGCTGGCCCAGCTCCAGCAGGCCCAGGGCCAGCACTCCCACGCTTCCCACGCCTCAAGAGCCCCGGCACGGGGCCAGCGCCCTCCATCCCCTGTGCTGGCTCCCTTTGGATCCTGGCTCCAGAGGGTGGGATCCAGCAGAGCAGCTGGGCAGGGGGCTGCCAGCTGGATGCGGCCCTGGGCTTCCCGCATTCCGGGAGGGGACAGGGCCTGGGTGTCCTGTGCTCCATGGAGGATGCTCAGCGCCGGTTTGTGGTCCTTGGGTCCTCAGGAAGGATTTGATGTGGTTGTGGGCAGCGCTGAGCCTGCTGGGGTTGGCTCTGATGTCTTGAGGAGCTTCTGTTGTCCCTGGGGTGTCCCTGCCCAGGGCCTGGCTGAGCTCTCTGTCACCCATCTCCTTGATGGTGGAAGGCAGAGGATGCCCGGGGGGGGTTGAAGGCGTCGCAGCAGCATCCCTCCTGCCTCGGGAGGGTTAACTCCCGTTCCTGGCTCGGCTGAGCCGTGCTGGAAAACTCTCCCCTCCCTCCTGGGGGACCCTCAGCTCTGCCGGGCTCGGTGCCGGGCCTGGAGCAGCGCCAGGCTTGGAGCTCGAGCATGACATGATGCTTATGGCCACAGCTTTCCCTGCCTGCAGCCAGCGCTCAGCTCCACAAATGGCTCTGGATGTGCTTCCCAGTTCCTCACCTTCCTCATGTGCCCTTCTCCTGGGCACAGCTCCCCAGGGATGCTCGAGCACGCAGTGGGTGCAGTGCAGGGTGATCCGGAGGGGTCTGGAGCTGGTTCTGTGCTGGCACTGTGGTGTCATGGGTGCTGAGTGCTTCCAGCTCAAGTGTGTCCTGGCTGGGCTCTGTGCGGGGTGAGGACACAGGATGCAAGGTGCTGGAGAGTACCTGGGGGGCCCTGCACTGATGGCCTCTTCCCCCCTCCCACAGGCTGGAGGAGGTGCCCTTAGAGGTGCTGCGGCAGCGGGAGTCCAAGTGGCTGGATATGCTCAACAACTGGGACAAGTGGATGGCCAAAAAACACAAGAAGGTGAGTGGGTGACAGCCACGTCCCCTGGGGCTGCCCCAGCACAGGAGGAGGGACAGCCATGCCCCCCGAGGCAGCCAGCACCCTGTGTCCTGTGTCCCGTTCCTGGAGGGGAATGCTGGCTCGTGGAAACTTCTGTTTTGAGCATCTCATAGACACAAAGACTCCGGGTAGGAAATGTTTGAGGCTGGTGTGTGTGATGCTGGTCTGCAGGCTGGGGTCCCAGGGAGACCCGTGGTGCCGTGTGCTGGCTGGCTGCTTCCTGACCTGAGCCTGTGAACCAGGGGTAGGATGGGATCGGATGGGATGGGATGCAGAAGTCCTATGTGTCCCCTGGAAGCAGTGAGGCTGTTGGCACCAGCCAGTGCTGCCGGAGAGCAGCCAAAGGGCCTCCTCTTCGTCCTCCTCATCCTCCTCCTCACCCCGCTGGCAGAGCCTCCTGGCACGGCTCCGTGCTGTGCTCCCGAAGCGCTGTCTCTGCTCGGAGCCTCTTGTTCAGCTCAGGAATCCCTCCTGTTTCTTGGCTGCTCACAAAGGGTTCGGGAGAGCTTTTCGGGACACGGCAGCAGGCCCTTTGTTCTGTGGGTGCTTTCTGCTGCTCTGCAGCCGTGCCCAGGCTGGGCTCAGGGCTCTGGCAGCAAGCAGGGCTGGCAGAGGAGCTCCCTCTGCTTGGGCTGAGCTCCCGGGGGTCTCCATGGGGCTGATGTGCTGTACTGAGTGTCTTGAAGCAAAAAACGATGCCTAGAGACTCTTGAATCACAGAACCCCAGCCTGGTTTATGTTGGAAGGGACCTTAAAGCTCCTCCAGCTCCAACCCCTGCCACGGGCAGGGACCCCTTCCACTAGAGCAGCTTGCTCCAAGCCCCTATGTCCAACCTGGCCTTGACCACTGCCAGGGATGGGGCAGCCACAGCTTCTCTGGGCACCCTGTGCCAGCGCCTCAGCACCCTCACAGGGAAGCACAGCAGGTTAAAGTCACCCTTAAGCTCCAAGCCCCATCCAGCCTGGCCTTGGACACTGCTGGGGGTGGATCTGGATCTCCAGAGAGCTGCTCTGTGCCTGGAGCTCTGGGGCTGCTCAGGGAAGGGAGCCAGGCCTGGCCTCTGCTGCTCTGGCAGGAGCCAGGCTGCTTTGGTACGGGGCCATGCCGCGTGGCTGCTCCCTGTGCCTCTGAACGCCCCAGGGCTGGCTGACAGCCCAGGGATCCCTTGGGCCAGCCCTGCCGGGCTCACCCACACCTGCACTGCTCCACAGCATCCCAAATCGCTCCCTCCCTCACCCACCTGGCCTGGATCCCGATGGAACCACGGCCTCACGTCCTTCCTGGCACTGAGAGCTGGTCCTTGCCCTTTGTGCCAGCCCAGACGAGGACGGACCCATGAGCAGCACTCAGACTGCTCTTTACTTTTGGCCTCCCTCAGCCTGGACATGCTCTGGATCCCTGGAACAGCACAGTGGGATCCAGGGGCCGGGTTCCCCCAGCACCGAGGCCATGGGGATGAGATGCTTGGGGTTCCCAAGGAGATGAGGTGCCTGGCTCCGGCGCCTGTGGAGCTGCAGGGGCTGCCCTGAGCCCAGCAGGGCAGCTTCCTTCCTGGCAGCTGGGCCAGCAGGAAGGGGAGCTGGTTCCGGGAGGGAGCTGGCAGCAGGGCAGAGCTGCAGTGGGCATCGCCCGAGGGCTTCCTGCAGGCACAAAGGCCCTGCAGGACTGGGGCTGCCCCGGTAAACACAGCACCGTGGGGAGGGAGCAGCAAAAGCCCCCTGGGGACAGGGAGCTGCACCCGGCTGCCTGGAAACAACCTGCTCCAGAGCTACAGCAGCAAAGGGAAAGGAGCTCTGGGCAGGCTGGAGATGCCAGGGAGGAGGTGGGGGCTCTGGCATCCCATTTCTCTGGCAATTGGGATGAGCTCCCCGTGTGGGAATGGGAGGTGTGGGACCGTGCTGGGGATCTGCAGGGTGTTATGCGGGGTGACTGCTGGAAGCACTGCTCTGATGGGCCCAGCAATGCTGCGTGTGCTGGCCAGGGTCCATGGGGAGATGGTGCTGCTGATGTCCCAGCACTGGGGGTGTCTGGTTTTGGTCCCTCCTGGCAGGAGCAGGGTTAAGCCCTGCTGTGGGGTAGGTGCTGGTGCTGCCGCGCTGGACTTTGGTCCTGCTGGTGCCCAGTGCCAAGGAAACCAGGGGCTGGCTCTGGGAATGGAGCTGGCCATGCATAGAGCTGGGGCCCAGCCGGCCCGGAATGAGGGGGGAAAGGCCAAGAGCTCGACTGCGTGTATCTCCCTGCTGTCCCTGGGTCGGAGGAGGGCTGCACTGGAGCCTGGAGAGTGCTCCTGTGTGGTTCCAGTGCTTCCCGTTGGCTGTGCCAGGGAGAGAGCACCCGCTCCCCATTTGGCTCCAGTGCTTGCTTTTCCAGCTCCCAGCAGGGTCACAGGATGAAAGGAACCATACAAGGGTATGGGTTGGAAGGGACCTTAAAGCCCATCCAGTCCCAACCCCTGCCACGGGCAGGGACCCCTTCCACTAGAGCAGCTTGCTCCAAGCCCCTGTGTCCAACCTGGCCTTGAACACTGCCAGGGATGGGGCAGCCACAGCTTCTCTGGGCACCCTGTGCCAGCGCCTCAGCACCCTCACAGGGAAGAGTGGATCCTGCTTTGAGGCAGAGCCGGGCTTGTCTGGAGCTGTTTGTGGGGCACGAACCCTCAGCTGGCTCCTGGCAGTGCCTGCAGCTCCCTCATGGCCGTGGCAGGGGTTGGAACCGGATGAGCCTCAAGGTCCCTTCAACCCAAACCAGGCTGTGCCTCTGTGCCCGGGCAGCCGGTGGTGCTCAGCCCCGTTCCAGTCTTGCCCCGGGGGCCTCTTTGCCCGTGGCTGCTCCATGATATTCCGGGTGATAGCTGTGTGTGTCCTGCAGATCCGGCTGCGGTGCCAGAAGGGGATCCCCCCGTCGCTGCGGGGCCGGGCCTGGCAGTACCTGTCCGGGAGCAAGGTCAAGCTGGAGCAGAATATGGGCAAGTTTGATGTGAGTGCTGCTACAGGGGGTGCTGGTGCGTGGGGTGCTGCTGTGGGGAAGTGCTGGGTCGACTCCTTCTCCCCCAAGGGCTGAGCATCCCTTGGAGTCCCAGATGCTGCTTGTTTCTGCTGGGGGGGGCTCAAGGGTGCACTGACCCACAGCCTGGTGGGGCTCGTGTTTGGGGCAGAGCCAGGCCCAGCCTGGAGGCCGTTCCCCCAGCCCCATGGACTTGGCACCGTGCTGGTGTCACGTACTGCTCACCCCGGCTCTGTGCTCCCCAGGAACTGGATCTCCTCACGGGGGACCCCAAGTGGCTGGATGTGATCGAGCGGGATCTCCACCGCCAGTTTCCCTTCCATGAGATGTTTGTCTCGCGTGGAGGCCACGGGTGAGTGGAGCTGCTGCATGTCCGGGCTGGAGCCCTGGCTTGGACCAGCACTGTGGGGTGGGTGCCGTGTGTCCCCCCTCCACAGCTCCCAGGGCATCCAGGCACAGGCTGAAAGCAGGATGGCTTCTCAGGAGCTCAGTGCATGGGGCGCAGCCCTCAGCACCAGCTCTGACCTCAGGGGGAGGGAGGAGGTGGCCACTGTTGTCTCCATGTCACCGGGGACCTGTCCTTCCCCGTGTGTTGGGGAGTGTCTGTGCCACTGTGCTTGCAGCTGTGTCCTTGCCTGGCCATGGTTCAGCTTGAGCCAGCACCCATGGGAGATGGCAGTCTCGCTGCCTTACCTCTGGATCCGGGTAGGATGTGGCCTCTGTGCGCAGAGCTGTGGTTATTGTGTCCCTGGTGGTGTGTGGAAGCGGGATCCCAGGCTGGTGGTGGGTCCCCGTGGGATGCCCAGTGTGGATTCATCCATGGGCTCTGCAGGGGCACTGCCGTGCCCTGTGTCCAGCTCCCTGTCCCCGTGTCCCCGCAGGCAGCAGGACCTGTTCCGGGTGCTGAAGGCGTACACCCTGTACCGCCCCGAGGAGGGCTACTGCCAGGCCCAGGCCCCCATCGCCGCCGTCCTGCTCATGCACATGCCAGCCGAGGTACGAGCTGGGGCCCGGGGGGGTGCTGAGGGGTGCCCCTTGCCTCCCTTGGTCACAGGGAGCCGTAGGGCTGCTCCCTGGGCACTCACTGCTGTCCTTGGCTCGCAGCAAGCGTTCTGGTGCCTGGTGCAGATCTGTGAGAAGTATCTCCCCGGCTACTACAGCGAGAAGCTGGTGAGTGAAGGGCCCGTGGTGCCTCTGGGGGCGGCGGGGACCTCTGATGGCTCCCTCAGCTCCTCGCCCTGGAGGGAGAAGGGAGCGCGGGGGAGTCCTGGGAGCTCCCACAGTGTCCGCGTTGTGCCGTGGTACCTGGGAGCATTCCGCAGTCAGGGATGGGGCGCTCCCGCTCCCAGCATCCGTGGGGCACAGCTCTGCTGCAGGAGCCAGGTCTGGGGGTGGCTGCTCCTGCGGTGGGGCTGGGTGCTGGTCCCAGGGCTGTGCTGGGGTTAAGGCCTCTGGATGCTGTCCCTGCAGGAGGCCATTCAGCTGGATGGGCAGATCCTCTTCTCGCTGCTGCACAAGGTCTCCCCCGTGGCCTACAAGCACCTGAGCAAGCAGAAGATCGACCCCATCCTCTACATGACCGAGTGGTTCATGTGCGCCTTCTCCCGCACGCTGCCCTGGAGCTCCGTCCTGCGCGTCTGGGACATGTTCTTCTGTGAAGGTAGGAGCTCCTCACCCACCGTCCTCCTCCTCGTCCCGGGGTGAGCACACGGACAGCACCTGGGGCTGCAGCAGGAGCTCTGCAGTGCCTGCTTGCCTGTACCTGGCACGTGGGACCTGTTGTAGGGCAGGTTTGGGGCAGCCACGTGCCTGGGGTGGAGGCTGGGCTGTTGGCTTGGGGTCTGGGGACACGTGTGTCCTAAATCCACCCTCTTGTATGTCCTGACTGCTGGCAGGGCTGGGACCTCAGGTGTCCCACAGCACCTGAGGGACGCGGTGGCAGCGTCATCACCCTGCTTGCTGGGTGCTCCTTGCCTCACCTCTCCCATTGCAGGGGTGAAGATCATCTTCCGCGTGGGCCTGGTGCTGCTCAAACACACGCTGGGCTCCTCGGACAAGCTCAAGTCCTGCCAAGGCCAGTACGAGACCATGGAGAGGCTGAGGGCTCTCAGTCCCAAGATCATGCAGGAGACCTTCCTGGTGCAGGAGGTGAGGTGCTGGGGGAGCTCTGGGATCCCAGTGCTGCCCAGTTACTGCACTGGGGTGGTGTAGCATGGGGGGCAGCCCCCAGAGAGCTTGGATTTGGGGTTGCCTCCGCCCTGGGGGGTGCCCCCAGCCGGCTCAGTGCCGACCCGAGCCGTGTCCCGCAGGTCATCGAGCTGCCGGTGACGGAGCGTCAGATCGAGCGGGAGCACCTCATCCAGCTGAAGAAGTGGCGGGAGATGCACGGGGAGCTGCAGTGCAAGAGCCCCCCGCGCCTGCACGGCGCCAAGGCCATCAGCGAGGCCGAGCCCCCCCCTCGCAAGGCGCTGGAGCCCGTCCCCTCCATCATCGTGTCCCCCGGGCCCGCGCCCGTGCCCAAGGCCCGCAAGAGCAAGGAGAAGAGCAAGGAGAAGAGCCCGGCCGGCCCCGCCAACGGCCCCGGGGCCGAGGGCCATGGGGCGCCCAGCTCGGCCCCGGAGCTGCTGCACCCCCAGGTCTCCCCCCACCACCAGTCCAAGGAGAGCCTGAGCTCCCGGGAGAGCGAGGACACGTACTTGTAGGGCCAGCACGGCACGCATGGACCCGGCTGGAGGCCGCTGCTGGGGGCTGCGTGGGGACCCGTGTCCCCCGGCACCAGAGGGATGGGGACACGCCAGGGTCGCCGTATGCAGGGGCTGTGGTGACCCACGGGGCCACCTCGGTGCTGGCACCATGCGCGGTGGGAGCCCTGGCAGGGGTGGCTGAGCCACCCAAGCTCCCTCCCCACAGCTGGGGGATCCCGGGTGCCCCTTGGTCCCTTTGCCCTGTCCCAGAGCCCCGTGACCCACTGCCCCCAGGGTCCCTCCATTGCCTCCATCCCTCTGCCAGCCCCAGGACCAGTTCCTGAGCACTCATTCCTGGCGCAGGGGCACTGGGGGGGTGTGGGGAGCCGGGGGCACCCCTCACCCTGCTCCTCTTTATCTAGTGAGGATATATCGAGCTGTAGCCCTACCTGTAGTACCCAATGTACCTACTCACTTGAGCCTATTTATTACTCCTCCGTGGCAGTAACCGTCGCAGGACAGGGACCGAGGTTGGGAGCTGCAGGAGCAGGGGGGTTGATGCCAGACCACGGGGCTAAAGCCCCTCCCCATGTCCTCAGCCTCGAGGGCAGCGTTCCGTATCCCGGGGCTCCCCCCCAGCACTTCTCCCCCCCCCCCCCCCCCCCCCGATGCCCTCCCTGGTTTGGGGTCCCCTCTCTCCTGCCTGAGGGTTGGGGGGTGGCTTTGTAAAATAAAGCGGGGAAACACGGTTTTGTACAAAGGTAAATAAAGCAGATTGTGTAAAGGCGCCTGCGGCCCCGTGTGCTCCCGTCTGCGGGGTGGGGGGGTCCCCCCATGTCCCCTGGGGCGTCCTGCCGGGGGGGGGGAAGGTGCTGGGAGGTGCCATGGGGCAGGGCCCGCTGCTCTCACCCCGATGGCACCGTCCTGGTTAACCCCGTGTCTGGAAGGGGGGGGGGGGGGGGGGGTCGGCGTTTGGGGTCGCGATGAGCCCGGTCCCGGCGTGACCGGGCCCGGGGCGTGTCGATGGGCGGAACGATGGGCACGGCCGGCCGTGTCCCCGCCCCATGGACGGGACGGGCTTGGGCCGTGGCGGCGGCGGGTCCCGGTGCTGCGGGGCCATGGACCTGCACATCCTGGAGCACCGGGTGCGGGTGCTGAGCCTGGCCCGCCGCGGGCTCTGGCTCTACACGCACCCGCTGCTCAAGCTGCTCTTCCTGCCCCAGCGCTGCAGGTAGCGACCTTCCTCCCCCCCCCACCCCGCTCCTCCTCCTCCGGTGCCCGGCCCCGGGGTTGGCAGCGCCGGTTTCTTCTTCAGGTGCAAGTTCTTCAGCCTGACGGAGACCCCCGAGGACTACACCATCATGCTGGACGAGGAGGGCTTCCAAGGTACCGCGCGGTGTCCCCGCCGGGCACCGCTGACACGAGTTGTGCACGTTCTCAGCCCACCCGAGCGCAGCAGCGCTCCGGTCCTGAGCCACAGGGAGCGAGTCCCGGCTGGTAAAGCGGCTCCCTGGGAGCGTGCCCATCCCCGGGGCTCTTGGCCACGGAGCTCCCATCCCCTTGGCGCCTGCGCTGGGGATGTCCCAGCCTGCCCGGCCACTGCCCGGGCAGAGCTGCGGTGCTCGGGGGCCGATTCTGCACCCACTGGGGCTTGGGGGGGGAGGAAGCCCTCCCGGGGGTGCTGCCGGGCAGCTGGGGCCGGGTTTCGGGGTGTCCTACAGGGGGGTTGGAGCCACCCGGGCCCCGCCGCCCTCTCGGGATGTGTCATTTGGTGACGTCCCCATGCGGGTGACCCAGCCCGTGTTCACCCTCACCACCGGGGGTACCGGCCCGACGGGATGCGCCGCGCCGGAGGGTCCGGGTCCCGCCCGGCCTTCCCACACCCGAACCTTCCTGCCCGGACCGGGGCCGGGGCCGGGGCCGGGGCCGGCCGCAGCTCATCCCCTCGGCTGCGCCGCAGGGGCAGGGGCAGCGCTGAGCCGGATCCAGCTCCCACCTCCTTGCCCACGGAAGGGGCCGCGGGGCCGGGCTCTTGCCCCCCCCGAGCCCGTCCCCCCGAATTGTTCCATTGCGGGGCTTGTCCACAACCGTTCCCCATCCCGAGGGGAGGGCGGGAAGTGCCGAACAATGGCTCCCGAGCCGGTGGCCCTGCGGCTCCGTGTGTGTGTCCCGAGCCTGGGGGTGCCAGTGCCCCCCCGCTGCGGGGGCCCCCACAGGAGAGCTGCGCCCCGCTATCCCCGTGGAGGACAGGGTGGCACCGGGGGGGGTGACGCGAGGAGCGGGGTGTACCCCCCCCCCCGGCCCAGGGTGGTGTTGGAAAGCGATTTAGCGGCCGGCGCTGGGACAGGTCCCCACGGCCCCGCGTGTCCCCCCCGCGGCCCCAGCGCGGAGCCCTGGGCCGGAGCCGAGGTTGTTCTGGCGCTTCCTGCGCAGGAACAGGCGCTGGGAACACCCGCCGAGGGCCTGGATCCGGCCCCGCTCCCGCCCTGCCACAGCCACGGAGCGGGAACAGGGTGCGGAGCCCGGCCCATGATGGGGACCCCCCCCGGGTGACCTCCCCATCCCCACCGGTGCCATGACTTTGTCTTCTCAGGGGGGCTGGGGCACCGGTGGGCTCACATGTGTCCCATGGGGGACGGGGGGGGTTTGGAGACCCCTTGGGTGGCCACCCCCCCACGTCCTGGGAGTGCTGGGGGGTGCGGAAATGGTGCTCAGGGATGGGTCCTGGAGCACCCGAGCGGTGCCAGGTCCCCTCCTGGGCAGGGGGTGGGAGCAGTGGTGGTGATGGGGGGACACAACCGGATGTCCCTTCCCTCATCCCCTCTGGTGCCCTGTGTCCTGCTACGGTGCTGGGGACTGCTGGGGGGCAGGGGATGAGCCAGTAATGCTGGTTTTGGGGTGCAGTGCACCCTAACACCCCCTTGCACCCACCCTGGGGTGCTGCTGTGGGGAGGAGAGATGGGGCCTGGCACTGGGGTGCTGTAGGCTTGGTCTGCTCATCCCTGCACGTGATGCTGGTTCTTCTCATGGATGGGGCTGGTCTGTGCCCCCCAACCAGCACCTCCAGCCCCACACCTGGGCCTGATCCTGCCCTGCCACCCCCGGCCAGCTTGTCAGCCTCTGAGGAGCAGTGTGAGGTGTCCTGGGCAGGGCGTGCAGGAGGGGATGTGCTGTGGCCACAGCCCCCAGTGTCCCCGTCCTCCCACAGAGCTGCCGCCCTCCGAGTTCATGCAGGTGGCGGACTCGACGTGGCTGGTGCTCAGCGTGGTGTCCAACGGGCGCGAGCCCCCCGGCTGCCAGGCCACCGGCGTCACCAAGATCGCGCGCTCGGTCATCGCGCCGCTGGCCGAGCACCACGTCTCCGTGCTGATGCTCTCCACCTACCAGACCGACTTCATCCTGGTGAGCGCTGGGCTGGCCCATGGGGGTGCTGGGTGAGGACCCCTCTGGCCCCAGTTGGTGCTGGTGGTGATGCTGGGCCTGATCCTGTCCCCCTGGTCAGGTCCGGGAGCGCGACCTGCCGGTGGTGATCCACACACTGGCCGGGGAGTTTGACATCTATAAGGAGGAGAGCGGTGAATGCGTCCCCGTCACCTGCGAGGATGTGAGCAATGGGTTCCTCAAGCCCAAGCTGGGTGAGTGACACTGGGTCCATGTCCACCAGGGCCACCCGGTCCCCTCAGAGGTGCCCCAGCTCCCAGCAGTGGTACCCACATCAGGGAATCCCAGGCTGGTTTGGGTGGAAGGGACCTTAGAGCTCCTCCAGCTCCAACCCCTGCCACGGGCAGGGACCCCTTCCACTAGAGCAGCTTGCTCCAAGCCCCTGTGTCCAACCTGGCCTTGAGCACTGCCAGGGATGGGGCAGCCACAGCTTCTCTGGGCACCCTGTGCCAGCGCCTCAGCACCCTCACAGGGAAGAGCTTCTGCCTCAGAGCTCATCTCAGTCTCCCCTCTGGCAGGTTAAAGCCATTCCCCTTGGCCTGTCCCTACATCCCTTGTCCCAAGCCCCTCTCCAGCTTTCCTGCAGCCCCTTTATGCCCTGGAGCCTGCACCCCGAGGGATGCGGGGCTGTGGCTGCGGTGGCCACGCGGTGGCACTGCGCTCCTGTCCCCATCCTGACAGGTGCCTCTTCCCCCCCCCCCAGCTGCCAGCCCCACACTGCACCCGGTGCAGAGCCCCCAGACCCGCTTCTGCATCCTGACCGTGGCCCCCGACACGCTGCCCGCCATCGCCACCATGCTCATCGACGTCCTCTTCTACTCCCACAGGTGGGTCCTGGCAATGGGACATGGTGGGTGCTCCTTGCCCAGTGCCACCCATCCCTCCCTCCATCCATCCACTCACCCTTGCGCCTCCTGAGCTGCAGTGACAAGTTTCCCTTTCCCCTTGCTCCCAGGGGCTTCTCGAGCTCTGGGTGTGTTTTGCAACCTGGTTTTGCCCTCCTGACCCACATGTGGCTGCTGTGTGTCCCACTGCCACCATGGGAGGTGGGAGCCCCAGGGCAACACAAGGACAAGCCCTCCACTGCAGCAGAGCAGGAGAGATGGGTTATGAAACTGGTGGCGATGGTGCCGTAGCACGGGGATGCTCCTGGCCGTGTCCCCTGGGATGAGGCCCTTCCTAGGGCACCCTCCTGCTTCAGACCCACTGCAGCGTTGTGGGAATGCCCTAAGTCCTGGTGTCACCCCTGTCCCCAGCCCGGCCCTTGTGCGAGCTGCACACCCTGGGGTATCACCGCCCCCCCCCAGCTCCCCAGTCCCAGCTCACCAACACGTTGCCCTGTGCCACCACCGAGCCCTTTCCACCTCATTTTGGGGACCACGACCCTTTTCCTGCCCTGCAGCCCCCCGCGGGAGGCTGGCGCTGCCAGCCCGGACCTTGACTCCATCACCTTCTTCGCCTTCTCCCTCATCGATGGCTACATCTCCATCGTGATGGACGCCGAAACCCAGAAGCGGTGGGTGCTGTCCCTGGGGGTGTCCATCCCTCTGCCCCCCCCGGGGGCTGAGTGAACCCCAGGAAAGGGGGGGTTCAAACCGCACCCCCTTCTCTCAGGTTCCCCAGTGACCTGCTGCTGACCAGCTCGACGGGGGAGCTGTGGCGGATGGTGCGGATCGGGGGGCAGCCCCTCGGCTTTGGTGAGACACGTCCCCATCCTCCCCTGGCCTGCCCTTGGGGTGACGCTCCCCTTGTGCATCCCCGTGGCACCGAGGCCACCGCTCTATGGGGACCCCTTTCCTGCCCAGACGAGTGCGGCATCGTGGCGCAGATCGCGGAGCCGCTGGCTGCTGCCGACATCTCTGCGTACTACATCAGCACCTTCAACTTCGATCACGCCTTGGTGAGCCCCTGACCCCCCTCCCCAGGGACCCACCGCCCTGGGGGTGTCCCCATGGGGCTGACAACCCCGTTCCCCCCCCGGCAGGTCCCTGAGGACGGCATCGCCGAGGTCATCCAGCTGCTGCAGCAGCGCCAGGACAGCAGTAGATAGTGGCCGGTTGTACCCATGCCGGGGTTGGGGGGGTGCCCCTGCCCCTCCTCACCCCACGTATTCCTTAGTTTTAATGTTAAGGCTCCCCATGGTGTGGGGCAGATGCGGGTGCAGCACCGCTCCCTGCCTGCTGGGGATGTGGGGACCCGGTGGCCTCATGGCAATGGGACAGTGGTCCTGCTGTGCCATCCCATGCCTCCATCCCTGCTAGGGGGCTCAGGAGGAGAACGGATGTCCCCAGGGACCTGCTGGAGGAGGGGACATGGAGGGGACATGCCGCAGAGCAGTGATGGGGGTGACAGCCCAGGATGTGTCCCCATGACCCGTGTGTGCCCCTACGGGTGGTCCCCTCGGGTGGGAAGTGGCCGTGATGCTCTGGAGCACCCCTGGACCAGCCCCATCTTGGTGAAAAGCCTCCCTGGAGCTGGGCTTCCCCCTGGCATCCCAAAGCTCCCCATAGTGGGGCCCGGTGTCCCCTCCCCGGTGGCTGTCGCCTGTCGTGGTGACCCCAGCTCTGCCAAGCTGCATTTCCACGGAGTTTATTGAGGAGTCAATAAAAGCTGTTATTTTCATTGCCACGTACCTGGGGGGGGGCACTGGGTGGGATGGGAACGGAGGTGACGGGGGGGGCACCCCCATGCGCCCGGTGATGGGGTCAGCTCCAATGCCCTCTGCTTTGGGTGCTGGAAACCTCTTTGAGAGCAGCTCAGTGGGGCTGGGGATGACCCCAGCTCTGCTCCGGTCCCAGCCCCACTGCCCCAGGCAGCAGCAGGGTCCCTGCAGTGTCCTCCCCACGTCAGCTCCCGCCGGGTTCCTGCGGTGGCTTCAGGCTCCTCTTTCCTGTCTCGTCCCCTGTCATGGGACGCCGGTGACGTGCCCAACGATGAGGAAACTGCCCCGGCCCATGCGGTCACCGGCGCTGTTCCTGTCCCTGCTGCGGCTGCACAGGCCCCGCCACCCGCCTGCGCCGGGGGTCACAGCCATGGGGAGCGAAGGGTGGGTGTGAACTGCGCTGCTCTGCCTGCAGGGTCCTGCTCACCCGGGCACAGCACTGGGGTCCTGCCACGGCAGCGCGCATGCTGGAGGGTCCACAGGGACAGGGAGGGAGGGAGGGATGCATGGGTGGATGGATGGGTGCATGGATGGATGGATGGGTGGGTGGATGGATGGATGGATGGATGGGTGGGTGCATGGATGGATGGGTGCATGGATGGGTGCGTGAATGGATGGATGGATGGATGGGTGCATGGATGGGTGCATGGATAGATGGATGGATGGATGGATGGATGGATGGATGGATGGATGGAGGGAGGGAGGGAGGGAGGGAGGGAGGGAGGGAGGGAGGGAGGGAGGGAGGGAGAGATGGATGGATGGATGGATGGATGGATGGATGGATGGATGGATGGATGTGTAGAAGGAAGGACGGATGCATAGACAAATGGATAGATAGATGGATGGACACACACAGATAGATTGGTGGATAGGTGGATGGATGGATGAGTGGATGTACGGATGCATGGGCAGTTGATTCATTGTATGGCTGACAGTAGACAGATAGACAGGTTGATGGAGAGGTGGGCAGGTGGTGGACATGCAGATGGGTGTGTGGATGGATAGGTGGACATACGGACAGATGGCAAGGGGCTGTCTAGACAGATGGACAAACTCCTACAGACAGATGTGCAGAGAGAAGGATGCTCTCCTGGTCCTGGCCCCCCAGCCCCAGCCCAGCACCACCTCTGCTGTGGGACACATGGAGGAGGAGGAGGCAGGTCCTGCCCTGGGGACTCCTCAGCTTGCGGGTGCCTGGGGGGGGAAATTCAGGGAAAAGAGAGCACTTCTTCCCCCCGGGGTGAGTCACGGGCGCGCTTCCGCCCGGAGCAGACGTTATCACTGGGCAGTCCCCCCCGTGCCACCACCGAGCCCTCCCAGGGTGGAAGTCTGGCGAGGGGAAGCTCCCTCTCCTCACACCGGCAACTTGGTGGCACCAAAACAGAGCCCAGTGTGTCCCAAAGAGCTGATCCCATGCACCCATTTCATGGAGCGGGCAAAGCCGGCTCCATCCGCTGGGAAAGGGGAGCTGGGGCGGGGGTAAGGGGGCTGTCTGCAGTGGGTGCTGCTGTGGTGCTGGAGCTGGTGCTGAGCAAGCTGGGCTCTCCCATGGTGGTTGCATAAGGCTGACGCAGCAGTGAGGGCAGCGCTGCCCGCACCACGCTTCCGCTGCCCTTGGGCAACACCCGCCGCATGTGGTTCCTCCCCAAGGGCACCCATGGGTGCTGCTGGGCAGAGGGGCTGAGCCACACTCCACCAGCATCCAAAGCCATCACCTACAGGGATGGGTCGTTGGGAGCAGATGGATGGAGGGATGGAGCATCCTCTGGAGCATCACTGAGTGCCGTGGCCATGCTGGGATGCTCAACTTTCCCCTCCCATTTGGGTCCCCAGGAGGCTTTTGGTCAGGGATTGGCTTGTCCCTGCAGCAGGACCAGGGACTATGGGCTAGGGGATGGATGCATGCGCCTGGCACATGCTGTTTGTGCCTCCAGGCCTGATGCCAGGGTGATAGGCTCAAAGGGCTGAGCTCTCCTCACGGCACAGTGCAGTCCCTGGGCATCCCAGGATGCTACAAACTTCCCAGGCTTCCACCTCCCTCCTTATCCAGACAGGATTTAGCTCCCATGACTGAACCCACTATGGGAAGACCCCTGTGATGGGACATGCGTGTCCCCACGTGGTGGCACCCCCGTCCCTGGGTGCCAGCCCCGCCGCTGCCGCGCTCTTTTGCATTTGGGTTTTGGGGCAGCTGAGGCTGCTTTCGGTTCACCCACCCCACTGGGTGCCGCGCAGTGAAACCAGCGTGACTCAAAGCATCCCTTCTCCAGGAAGCCGGGTCCTGGGGTTCCGGGATGAGCAGCGGGACCCACACGGACTCCCTCGAGGAACTGAATCGAAGAACGAGCCCGTTGGCCGGGCAGCATCATTTCCTCCTGCCGCTCATTGGCCCCGGGGCACGGCCTCGCTCCCCGCTGCCTCCCCGCTGGGGCCGGGTGCCCCGGTCGGAGGTGGGGGCAATGGGTGCTCTTTAAAAGGCGAAGTTCCCCATCGGCGGCAGTGAAGGAAGTGAACTCGCGCCGAAACACCCTGCCCCGGCCATGCGGAGCGACGGGCGGCCCTGGTGCGTGCTGGCAGGTACGTGGCTGCTGCCGGGCCTCGCCTGCCCGTGGGGCTCACGGGGGGGGGGCTCAGGGCAGTGATCGGGGGCTGCTGGTGTCACCCAGGCTGTGCCCTGCCTGTGTCACCTCCCCAGGGTGCGGGCAGGGGATGGGTGCATCCCAACCCCCCGGGGGAGCACGGGGATGGGCATCCCGTGGGGGTCCCTTTGTGCGCGGGGAAGGGGGTGGGCAGGAGGGGACATGGTTTGGGGTCAGTGTGGGGACTGATGGCTGAGTCAGTTGGTTGCTGGCACAGACCCTGTAGCCCCTCAAGTGCAGCAGCGCTGGGTGCTGGGTGCTGGTCCAGCGCATCTGAGGCCACTGCCGGCACGCAGCCATGGGTGACAGTGGGGTCAGGAAAGCACCCAGCTGGAGCCAAGGGGTCAGATCCAGGGGTGTCACCGCTGTCTCCACCTTCATGGTGGCCCATGGTGACAGGCAGCTGCTGGGGTAACCGCTGTGGCTGCTCAGTGGCATCTTTACCACTCTTGTCCTCATCTTCCTGCTCCCTGCTGGGTCCTCAACAAGCTTTCAGCACAGGGGCTCGTCCCTGCAGCAGGACTGGGGACTGTGGCACAGGGGATGGTTGCATGTGCCTGGCACAAGCTGTTCTTGCTTCCAGACCTGATGCTGAGGTGATGGGCGCACAGGGCTGAGCTCTCCCTGTGGCACAGGGACCAGTGAGCCTGTGCCTTTCCGGCACGGACAAGGGGCTCCCTCCCTGCACCCAGCGATGCCCCAGTATCCCCTCCTGACTCTTCTTTTCCTCCCCAGTTGTCACCAAAGGGCTCTTCATCCTCTGGGCGGTGCCGGGCCAGGGGGGCCGGTCCCTGCAGCCCCCCACCCTGCAGCAGATCCAGGCGCTGGTAAGGCACATGGCCGAGGATGCGCAGGACCTCTTCACCTTCTATGTGAGTCCCCGTCCCCAGGGTGCGGGGTCGCTCCTGTCCCCTCCACGGGGGGGCACACAGCGCTGGGGGGGTTGTCCCCGTGCTGCTCCCATCTCACCCCCCTGACCTTTCCCTCCCACCCCGAGCAGGAGGAGGACCAGCGCCTGGCATTCCACCACCTCTGCCGCACCAACCACCCTCCCGAGTGGCTGCGGGGCCCGGTGCTGGGGCCCGGGGGGCTGCGGGGGCTGCGGGGGACCATGGCCCGCATGGCCCGGGCGCTGCAGGACATCACCCGGCAGCAGCGCGACCTCAACCCGCCCGGTGCCGAAATCCTGCGCCGCTTGGCCAGCACCCACCTGAAGGTGCGGGGGCTCCTCAACAACCTGGACGGGCTCTTCCCGGCCCCCCGGCCCGGCCCCCGGCCCGCGCCCGGCCCCACGGCACCCACCAGGGTGTTCCGGCAGAAGCTGGAGGGCTGCCGGCTCCTCTGGAGCTACGCGCGCTTCATGGCCAAGCTCAGCGCCCAGCTGGAGGCTCGGATCCGAGCCCGAGCGCGCCGGGATAAGCGGAGATCACACCGGGGCTCGCAGCTGCCTGCACGCTCCTAGCGTGGCCACTGGAGGTGTCCATGTGTCATCATCTCCATCATCTCCATTTTACCCATCCCTTTCCCTGCGATGGACACTCTCCGGCTGGCCGGGATGCACCATGGGGACCCCCTAAGCTCGCAGGGGTGAGGACACCGGCGTGCCCGGAGGAGCTCCCATCACCTCAGCTTGCCATGAGGACCAAGCTGTCCCCGTGCCACCGCTCGCCCGGCTGCAGGACAGCCCCGCTCTTCTCCCAGCAGCTCCCCCATCTCCTGCCCCACGTTCCGGTGCCGTGGGGAGCTGCACGCTCCGGTGTCCCCAGTGCCACCGCGGCGAGATGGAGCTGGCCCTTGCCACTGAGCTCTGCAGGAGTTTCCAGTGATTCAGTGGGTCTGGTGACCCAGCCTGACTAAGAGCCAGCACCCGCCTGCGCTGGGGCTGCCGGCCCCTGAGAGCATCTTGGAGTGGGATCCTATGAGCCCCACATCCCTGGGAGCTTGGTGTCCCTGTGTGTTCCACGTGTCTGCAAGCTCCATGTCCCTGTGCGCTCCGTGTCTCTGCAAGCTCCGTGCCCTTGGCGTCCCATCAAGCTGTGTGTCCCCACAAGCTCAGTGCCACTGTGCTCACCCCTGGGCTCATCCCTATGCTCTCAATGTCCCCCTGTGTTTGCTTGTCCCCGTGTTGCGCCTCTGTGCTCACTCTTGCACACACGGTGTCCCCGTGCTCTGGGTGTCCCCGTGCTCTGGGTGTCCCCATGCTCATGATGTCCCTGTGCTCTCAGCATCCCCATGTCCTGGGAGAGCCCAGGCTCATCCCTCTCTGCTCAGTGTCCCTGTACCCTCAAGTGTCCCCAGGCCCCTCGGGCTGTGCCAGGCAGGGGCTGGGCTCCAGCCACCACACTGTGACACTGGGTGGTGGCACCCCCCCACCCCCCCATTAATTTATACTGTATTATTTGTGTGTTTTTGTATTTATTGACTCCTGGTGTTAATTTAATGTGTCCCCACAGTGGGAAGAGATATTTAAGGACATGCTTTTAATATATAAATATCTATTTTTGTGATAAATCTTATTTTGTATCAACTGAACGTGATGAGGGTTTATTTATGGGTTTCACTATATTTTGGTACTGTGAGAAGGGCAGAGCCCGGGTCTGTATAATGGCACAGGAAATAAAGCGCTGACATCGGCCCATGGGCCCTGTGTCCCTCTGTCCTGATGTCCCTGTGTCCTGGTGTCCTTGTGTCCTGGTATCCTGGTGTCCCGATATCCCTGTGTCTAGGTGTCTGTGGGCAGAGAGGGGCTGTATTCCGGTGTCCTTGCCCAGCCACATGGTGCAGCATGATCTGGGACCTGGCCTGGCACATGGTGTGGCATGACATGGGATGCAGCACACTATGGGATGTGGCACTTGGTGGGATGCAATATGCGATGACATGGGGCACACAATGGGATGCAGCGCACAGTGGTATGTGGCACATGATGGGATGTGGTACCTGGTGGGACGCAGCATGCAATGACATGTGGCACATGATGGGATGTGGTACCTGGTGGGACGCAGCATGCAATGACATGTGGCACATGATGGGATGTGGTACCTGGTGGGATGCAGCATGCAATGACATGTGGCACATGATGGGATGTGGTACCTGGTGGGATGCAGCATGCAATGACATGTGGCACATGATGGGATGTGGTACCTGGTGGGATGCAGCATGCGATAACATGCGGCGCATGATAGGATGCAGCACATGGCACGGCACAGTGTGGCACATGGCGCTGTGTGGCACATGGCATGTGACGTGGCAATGCACCACATCTCATGGCATGGACTGGCAACACCATTGAAGTGCCATGCGGCAGTGGGGCACAACCCATGTGCCACATGTCACCCAGCCCTGTGTGCAAGTGACCTGGAGCAGCTGAACCAAAGCTCCCTTTGCTGTGGCCACCGCGGGGACCCGGCCACCCGATGCCACCGCTGAGTCAAAAACCCTGAGACCTGGTCATGTGGCCCTGGAGTCACTTGTTCCCCCCTGTGCCGTGTGCCGTGTGCCGGTGCCGTGTGCCGGTGCCCGCGGCTGCCCAGCACCGGCACCGCCTCGCTCAGTCACAGGGAGCATCGGCACCGGGACGGCTGGCACTGCGCTGGCACCGCTGCCGTTGGGGACACAAGGAGGGGGCCACGATGTCACCATGAAGCAGCCCGGGCCGGTTTGCCACGCTGCAGGTGACGGTGCCACCACCCGCCGCTGCACCCCGGCAGCGTGCATGGGCTGCGGAGGGGAGGGCGCAGGTACGTGACCCCCGGGACTGGCCCTCGGGGGGTGAGGGGACACCCAGAGAGGGGCTGGCTGTCACCAGGGCTGCTGCCAGCCCACAGGTCCCCATGGGGACACGCAGGGGGACCCCAGCGCCCATCCCATGGGAAAAGCCACCCCATGGTGGGGACATCCCTTGGGCATAGTCCCCAAGGGTCCTGCCACAGGGACCTGCCACTGGGATGGATGCGTGCCTGGGGGTGACACCAGTGGGGCTCAGAGGGGAGGCACCAGACTCATTCCCTGGCATCCCAACCCCCCCCCCCCGTGCAGCCCCAACCCTGGCCCCCAGGGTAGAAATCTGGGGTTCCCCCCATAACCCTAAATGGGGACAGCACGGGATGGGGACCCAGAGGGGACCCAGGAGGGGAGTCTGGGATGGGATGGGGTTGGGGACAGGGCCAGGGGGAGGAGGGCAATTATGGGATGGGGCAGTTCTGGGATGGCTATTGAGGGGACACATAATTACTGGATGAGGATGGAGGGGGCAACTCAGGGATGGGGAGACGAAAGGTCTGGGATGAGGATGGGGGTAAGTTCTAGGGTGGGAATAAGGGGACATTTCTGTCTGGGGATGGGGCGAGGGGGGTAATTATGGGATGGGGAGTGTCTAGTTCTGGTCTGGGGCAGCAGGGGGCAGCATGGGGACAGGGATGGGGAGGGGGGGCAGAGGTGGCCTTGGGACGCTCTGGGCTGGTGCCCATGCTCCTGGGCAGGCTGGGCATGGTGGGGACAGCAGCACAGCAGCGTTCGGTCACTGCCCCCTGCCCGCCCTGCCTCCAGCTCCGCTCCTGAGGTCCCCAAGCCGGGGACACCCCGGGGCCCCCCAGGTTCCCTCTGCTCCCTCCGATGGGGAGGGCTCCCCCCACTTCCCAACCAGCCCCTTCTCCTTGGGACCTATCAGGATCCCCTTCATGCCAGCACCTCATCCCTCGCCCGCATCCCACCTTTCCATGGCACATCCCTGCGAGATCTGCGTAGGGACATTTCTGCCACCAAAGTGATTGGGAAAGGGGACTTTTCCTGGGCATCTCCCCTGTCCAGCCTGGCCTGACCAGGGATTCAGGTTTTCCTATTGGAGCATCCTCCCCTCTAAAGGGAGAACCCTCCTTTTTACCCTGCCTTGAATACCTATTACAAACGAACCCCCAAATCCTTGCCCAGCTCTGGGACATAGCAGCCCTGGGCTGAGGAAATTGTGGGAATGGGCAGCAAATGTCAATCCCTGCACACAGCCGCTCCAAGAACATTCCCTGTTCATTAAGAAACACCCATTCCCGAGCTAATGAAGTGCCATCAGGCATCAGCTCTCTGCCAATAACTGAGGTGCTGCTCGCTGCACCCCAATGAAACCAGGCATGGGCTGCGGGGGCATCCCAGTAAGAACAGACTGGGCTGAAATGGGCTGTGGGGCACCAATGCCACCGGTAAACCTGGTTCATCCATGGGGAAACTGAGGCAGGCAGCAGCTACGTGCCCAGCACCCTCGGCCAGCACAGGGGGGTCCTGGTGTCCCCTCGGGGTGCCACACGGGGGACACCGGGGTCGTGGTGGCTCTTGCATCACCATTCCTCGACTGTCACCGGCGGGTTCACGCTGCCAGGGCACAAACTTGCTAAACCTGATCCAAAGTTTCAGCTGGGCCGTGCCCCTCTGAGGCAGAAAACACACAGAAAATCCATAGAGCAACATCCCCTTTAACCCCTTTTACACCCAACCCGGGGCGCAAACAGCACCCTCGTCCCACAGGACCCCACCTGCTCGGGTGCTCATTTCCATACTGGGTTTAGCACCTTCCCAAGCAGCCCAGCGCAGGCAGTGGGGATGGAAGGGTTAACGGCGGGGGGGGGGGGGGGGGGGGGCTGCCCAGCCTCTCCCCCTGGGTGGGTTTGTCCTTTTTCCTCCAGAAAACCCACCCTTTACTCCTGACATTGGTGCCCAAAGGGACAAACCGATGGCGGGATGGGGGACACTGATGCCACCGCACCCACCCCACTGTGAGCGGGGCTCCCGCACCCCTCGGGGGACCCCGACATCACCTTTTACCCCTCCAACCCCCCCCCAAGTCATCTTTATCCCCCCTTCATTATAGCGACTGATGCTGCAGCCGCCGGGGAAGCCCCATCCCGGGGAGGGGGCCCCGGGGGTGAAAGTGCTGGTGGCTCCGTGACTCACGGCCCCGTGTGCTCACATCGCGCCTCGACAGCGGCACCGCGACACCCCCGAACCCCACGTGCGGCCGCTGGCCTCCCTGCGGGACGGGGGCAATCCCCATTCCCCCCCCCCCCCCCGTTTCCCTTCCCACCCACATCCCCGCAGCACCTCCCCGGCCCCGTGCGTGAAAAGGATTGAAAAATAAAAGGCAGCAGCCCCCAAAGCCGCAATCCCGGTGACATCAACTTTATCAGAAGTTTATTTCTAAGAATCATTCAGGATTTCCAAAGCCCTCGACTTCCTGATTTTCAGTTTCAATAGAAGTAACGATAGTGGTGCTGCTCCCCCCCGCGTCCCCCCCTCCTCCCCTTTCTTACAACACAGGCTGGCTGCCGGACCGGTATATAAACCCCGAGAAGTCCCCCAGTATGAACATGAATTTCTGAAAACTCCCTCTGCCAACACCAATCCCTATTAAGTCGCTCCCGGGACGCGGCTCACAATGAAGTTCGTGCCGGCAGGTAAAAAGAAAACTCAGCTCTGGTGGGGGGGGATTGTTCCCCCTTTCCCACCCTTCCTTCCCTCTCCCCCCGCTCCTCTTTCCCCGGTGATGCTCGGGCACAGGCGGGTCCCGGGTCGCCGCCGCTGCCAGAGCCGGAGCCAGGGCTCCCGCCACGCCGCGTTCCCCCGGGATGAGCATCTCTGGGAATTGGCAGCCGGGAGCGAAGCGCGGCGCTGGCGCGGTGCAGCCAACATCTGGACACTTATATAACTGGAACCGCGGCCAAGAAACGGGGAAAGAAACCCAAAACGGGGGGGGAATAATTTTCTTTTGGGGCTTTTTTGGGCTTTTTTATACTTTTCCACCCCCCTCCTGCTTTTCCTCCTTCTGCGGCTCCCGGTGCTCTGGACCGCCGCTGCCCCGCAGCGCTGGAGCCATGGGGAGGATGCTAAGTGCAGCAGGGAGCGGATGCTGCCCCAGCAGCGGTGTTGGGGGGTCCTATAGGGCAGCACCCACCCGGCCCCCCCCCCCCCCATCAGTCCATCCCCTGGCACATGTGTAATGGGCAGAGGGCAGCGGCCAGGGCAAGGGGAGGATGCAATGAGAGGGGCTTGGGGGGGGGGGGGGTCAGGGCATCTGAATCCCATGGGAAAACCCAGGGAGGGAGGGTCCCCCCCGCCCTGCGCAGGAGGGGGGCGGTGGTGGGCCGGGAATCTCATCACGCCCAGGTAAGTCCTTTCCCACCTGGGCAGGGTAAATAGAACAAGGTTTGAATTACCCGGCGTGGCCGAGGCGCTGGCAAGTGCGGGCAGCTTCGGCTGGGGACGCATCCAGGGCAGCCGGTGCTGGCATCCTGGGGTACCCTGCGCTGGGAATGCCGTGCTCCGGAGGCGCTTGGGCCTCCCTGAGCAGGGATTCTGCTTCGAGGGTTGTGGGGTTGGAGCACCCCGCTCTCACCAGGGTCACCCAGAAGCTCAAGGGTCTCCTTGCTCCGCATCCAGGGATCTCCTGGCTCGTGTCTCTGGCAGCTGCAGCGTCATTCCCGGGGGCTCCTGTTGCCCGTTCCGCAGACAGGGAAACTGAGGCAGGCGCTGGGGCTGGAGCGGGCAGGGAGGGTTTGCCGGAGGCAGGTTTCCTTGCGGGCGCCCCCGGTGAGTCAGCCGGGGCCGGGGTGGGGCCTTGTTCCCGCAGCGCCGGGACAGGGATAACGGAGAGGGAAAGCGCTTTGCATATTTGATCAAACCTAACAGGTCGTCACCGGGCCCCTTGCGAAATGTGGGAATGCCGTGGGGCGCCCCGCCGGGAAGGGAGGCGGGAGAGCGCCTGCCGGGGGGCAGGTGAGGGGCATGGCAGCGGGATGGGAGCCTCTGCACGGCCGGGATGGGAACGTGGGGTCTGCCTTGGACCCCCGGCCCCAGCAGGATGCGGCCCCACTCTGGCTGCACGCCCGGAGCTGGGGACATGCTCAGGGGATGCTCTGCGGTGCCCAGGGACCTCCACCGGCTCGGGCCCCGCCGTGACCTCTCTCTTGCCTCTCCCCCCACAGGCGTCGTGCCCTTCGTGGCCCTGCTCCTGCTGCAGCGGCGGCCGGTGGCCGGGCGGGCGCTGCTGGTGAGCGGCCCCGGCTGCCCGGGCCACGGCTTGTGCCGCTCCAACGTGCAGGAGCAGACCCGCAGGCAGGTTGCGCTGCTCAACGCCACCGCTCAGGACCTCTTCAGCCTCTATGTAAGTGCTGCTCGGGGAGGTTGTGGTCCCCAAACCACCCCTGGGGCTGTTTGTGCATGGATGGGAAGGGCTGGGGACGGTGGCAGGAGGTGCCCGGGGGGGGGGGGGGGGGGGGCGGGCAGGGGACACGGGGATGACGGTGTCCTCTCCTCCCAGCTGAAGTGCCAGGGAGAGCCGTTCAGCAGCGAGACCGACAAGCTCTGCAACCCCGGCAGCGTGTTCTTCCCCGCCTTCCGCGTCAACCGGACGAGCGAGAGGAAGGAGGTGATGGTGGCCATGTACAAGCTCTTCGCCTTCCTCAACGCCTCGCTCGGCAACATCACTCGGGACCAGGAGGAGCTCAACCCCACGGCCAAGGAGCTCCTGGACCGGCTCCACAACACCACCAAGACCACGCGGGGCCTCATCTCCAACCTCACCTGCCTGCTCTGCAAGAACTACAATGTCTTCCAGGTGGACGTCAGCTACGGGGAGAGCTCCAAGGGCAAGAGCACCTTCAAGAAGAAGCAGCAGGGCTGCCAGGTGCTCAGGAAGTACGTGCAGGTCATCGCCCAGGCCGCCCGCATCCTCCTACCTCACCTCAGCCCCCCGTGAGCACCTGCCCCGGCTCCTCTGCCCCGCACCGGCCGCCTCTCAACTCCTATTTATTACCCTGGACCCTGCGCTGGCCCCACCGACCTCTGGCCTTTATCTGCCCCTTGCTGGGGTGAACGTTGCAGCCTGGTGTGTCCCGGGCGGAGCAGAGCTGGGGCCGGCATCCAGCGGGATGAGGCAGCGCATCCCAGAGGTGATGCTGCAGCGCGGGCTGGTCCTGGGATGCATCTCGGCTGTTCCCGTGCTCCATGTGGGGAGCTGTGAGGGGCTGGCGGCAGGGCCAGACTCTGTCCCTCACAGCCGGTGTCCTCCATCCTGGAGAGGGACCCGATGGACATCCCGAGCATCGCCCCAAATCCTCCACTGCCCTGGGAAAAAGGGCTGGGATGAAGGACGCCGGGATGCTGCGGCTGCTGGGGACACCGAGTGCGGGGACCTGCACACCTTGAGGCTGGGCTCTGCCACAAAGGAGCCAAACTGAGGGTACGGGGTGGCCGTGGCAGCTGGGGCTGGGGCTGGGTCCCACCGGCTGGGACAAGGCCACCGCTGGGGACAGAGCCGGCAGCTGCGCTCTGAATGTACCAAGGGCTGTGCACAGCAGAACATGGCCCCGGCGCAGGGACGCGGGGACATGGGGACACGGGGACATGGGGACGGGCCCCAGGCCGGTGGCAGGAGGCGCTGGCTCGCTCCTGGCACCAGAGCGGGCTGTGAGGGTTATTTATTGCCTCGGTGGTAAAGCCCAGCGTGCACCGAGGGCTCCGACCTGGCTTCTAATAATGTTATTAATAATAATAATTAATAATAATTAATAATAAGATTTGTGGTAATATATATAGAGAGAATTCTATTTAAATATTTATTTTTTTATACTTTTTTCCCTCTCTCCCTTTTTTTAAATAAACCAACAGAAACTGACTCCGTTCGGCTTCTCTTTTGCTGGGTTCCCTTCAACTCACCCCCAAACTCCTCTGCTGCTCCTCTGGAACACCCTCAGGGCCAACATAACCCCTCAAGCATCGCAGTGGGTGGGGGGGTTACCATCCCCTGTCCCCCTGCTCCTTCTTCCTCTCCCATCTCCTATGGGAGGCCTGACTGTGAAGGCGTTTTCTAGGGAAGGCGGGGTGGGGGGCTAATGCTTAAACTGACATTTCCCAGCTGCTCAAAAGCACCAGGAGGGTGCAGGAAGCATCGTGGTGCAGGGACCATGATGGTGTGGGGATTATCACAGTGCGGGGAGCATTGTGGTGTGGGGAGCATGTTGGTGCAGGGACCATCATGGAGTGGGGACCATCACGGAGTCGGGACCATCACAGCATGGGAAGCATCATGAAATGGGGAACATCATGCAGTGGTGAGCACCATGGTGTGGGAAGCATCGTGATGCAGGGATCATCATGGCATGGGGAGCATCACGGTTTGGGGAGCATCACAGCATGGGGACCATCGCAGCGCAGGCACCACGGCGGTGCAGGGAGCTGCGCTCTGGCAGTGCCTGGGGGTACTGGGAACCGCTGGAGCTAGCTGGGAAGAGGCAGAGGGAGGAGAGCAAGTGTGTGCGGGTTGGGGGGGGTCAGATAAAGTCCCAGCCGCTTCCCAGGCAGCCCTGGGAGAGGCTCAGCAAAGCTTCTCCATAGCCAAGACCACCAAAGGCTCCAGCAGTGCCCCGGTGCTCGGCGCGGCTCGGCGGGGCTGTATCGGTTAACAAGAGCCTGATTATACAGGAGACGTTGGAGCAGGATGATGAAATTTTCCTCCTCCTCCGGAGCCCTCGGGCCTGGGGCCAAACCTCCCAGGCATGAGACAGCAAGCGGATGAGCTAAGATCCTGTGTGATCATCTCTGTGTCTCGGAGGAGCCCAGACCAACAAAAATCATCACAAAGATGCAAAAGTCCCCCCCCCCGAACCCCTCTTGCTCTCCCCCAAGGGGTCAGGCTGCCCACAGCATCCCCCAGCTCCTATGGGAGGTGTTATGGCATCTGTTTGTCTCCAAACTGGCCCCACCATGGGCAGCCGTGTGCCACACCAGACCGATGGGTGACAGCAGAAGGAGCAGTGTCCAGCTCCATCCTGACCCTGCTCATGGTGGGATGTGAGCCCCAAACCAGCACCAGCTTCCCTGTTCCATAGAGGAGGCGCATGGGGAACACCCCCAGTGGGTACCAGGCAGGTTGTGGGGGTTTCTTCCATCACCTCATCCTGCCACCAGGGAAGGGACCCTGGGTGTCCCCAGTGCCACTGCCCTGGAGGGTGCCCGGATTGCAGCCAGTCTGTGGGACCCATTTCCTGCCTGCACCGCGACATAAGGTGTCCTCAAAGCAATACAGCCACCCCTGAGCCACAGGGATGGGGCCAGGCAGAGCAGCGGGAGGGGTGAGCACCAGCTACTTGGCATGGGCATCATGCAGCAGGGCCAGGTCCTGCAGCACTTGCCAGCACCACTCCAAGGTCACCACATCTCTGTGTCTGGGGATGCTAGGGTGTCCCCATGGCCATCACTGCCATGGCTGCCGTACGGCAAACATCCTGCGTGCTGCATGTGAACACACGCACCTCAGCCCGGCGGGTGCCCGGGGCAGCCACCGCTGATGCGGCTGCGGGGACTCAAGGGGTGTCAGCGGCCGGGGCTGGGGTCGCGCCCTGCGGGGCTGGGCCGGGCGAGCAGCGAGGAGCGGAGCACATCTGCATTTCTCACGCTTGCGTTCAGCGGCCCTGCTCCTCCAGATGGCAAAAATAAATAAATAGAATAAATCAGCCCCTCCTGACACAAATCGGGAACCCGCGCCCGGGCTCCGCGCTTCATGAGTCCCTCTGGAAGGCGGTCAAACACAGGCGAGGACAATGGGTTCACTTCTCCCCTGTGCCGGGTCATTCCCAGTTAAGACTCATTAGCAGCGGGCGGGGATTAACTCTTCCTTCCCTGGGAACGCGGCTCCTGCCGCAGCGAGGACGAGACCCGCGCCCTCCCCACAGCCCCCGCCCTGGGGTGCGAGGTTGGGGCTGGAGGCAGCCCCTGCTCGTGCCGTCTCCATCCTGCGAGCCAGGACGGCGGCCCCGCTCCCAGCGGCCATCCCAGCCTCGGCAAGAGGGAAAGGGCTCTCCATGACCTCAGCCAGCGCCGATCCCACCCAGCCGGCCCCGGCGGAACCGGGCCAGCCCCCGCGCCGGGCTGCGAGCGCCGGGGTGGGGTGGGGGGGGAACCGGCAGGACCCCGTGAGCGCTTCCCCTCCGGCCCCGGGGCTGGAGGAGCCGCTTTGGCCGCGGCAGAGCCGCGGAGGCTCCGGGAGCCGCTCGCTGCGGTGGGAGCGCCGCTGACGCCGGGGCGCTCTGACCAGAGCCCGGCTGCGGGTCAGCGCTGCCTCAGGGAGCGCGGTACGTGAGGAGCCGCGGTGAAGTCAGTGCCGCTGCCTGGGTGTGACGGGCTGACCTCAGCCCTTGGCCCCGCGGCGCGGATCATGTGCTGCCTGACGCCGCACAACCCGGCCGGACGGGTCCGTGCCGCTGCCCCCGGACACCGGCCAGACCGGACTTGCCATCCGCGGGCTGCAGGTGCGGGGCTTGAGCTTCACATCCTCCCCCCCCGCCCCGCGGGTACCCTGCGCTGCAGCAGCAGCAGCATCATCCCAGCTGGGGCCGGGCCGGGATGGGACATCCCATGGAAGAACCCGTTCGGAGCATCCCACCTTCCCCCGTGTCCACCCGGGCTGGGGTCGGCCCCGTTGGTGCCCACATCAGAGCCCCTTCGCCATTCGAGACTTAGCCCCGAGGCTTCATATTTGGGATCGGCGGGTCCCGATCAGGCCCCTGACCCCAAGCCGGGTCCCAGCAGGTCCCTGGGGAGGGGAACATCGTGTCCACAGCGCAGGCGGCAGCTCTTCCCCACCGTCCCAGGCTGGCCACCAGCCCGAGCACGGAAAGGCGAGCGGAGCCCATCTGAAACGCATTCATCCCCGGGCACGGCTGCTGCAATAGCAGATGCTCCTGCGTGGCCCTGACCACATCAGAGCGCGGCGGGCTGGGAGCCGCACGTTCACATGGGAAGAAACAGCCCTTGCCCCAAAGCGGGGACCAGCCGTGACGAATAAACAAGACAATGGCTGCAGGCGAGACGAGCGCAGCCCCTGCCGCAGGACCCGGCTCCCGGAGCCGCCGCCGTGCCCGGCAGGGGACTTGGCACGGGCCGGCCAGCGCCGGGGGGAGCCCAGGGGCCGCATCCGGACCCCCCGGCGGAGCAGTGGCTGTGTGACACGGCTGGAGCGCGGCGCTGGCCCCGGCACGGATGACACATCCCGGCGGCCCCCAGGGACCCTCGGCGGCAGCTTTGCTCAGCAAGTGTTTAGTCTCACAGTGAGCGAGCCTGGAGCGGGGTCAGAGGCAGCCGGAGAGGCCTCTCCTTGCTGCACCTCAGCTGCAGAGGGCTTTGGGGACCCTTCTCCATCAGCCTCCATCAAGGGTGGGATTCGCTGCCTTGGCTTTTGACAGGAGTGAAGGGCAGGTGTCTGCTGGTGGGGGCTACCCCAGCACAGCTTTCATTCAGTCACAGAATCCCAGCCTGGTTGGGGTTGGAAGGGACCTTAAAGCTCCTCCAGCTCCAACCCCTGCCACGGGCAGGGACCCCTTCCACTAGAGCAGCTTGCTCCAAGCCCCAGTGTCCAACCTGGCCTTGAACACTGCCAGGGATGGGGCAGCCACAGCTTCTCTGGGCACCCTGGGCCAGCGCCTCAGCACCCTCACAGGGAAGAGCTTCTGCCTGAGGGCTCATCTCAGTCTCCCCTCTATTGCCCTCAGACAGCCCTGGGTGCTCTCTTCACTGATGGAGGACCCTTGCTAAAGGGGAGAAACCAGTGACATCCCATGAAGATGGTGGGGAAGGATCAGCTCCAGGTCCAAGCAGGAGCTTGGTGCCCAGGGTCCCCAGAGCCAGGGTGACATGGCACACCGAGGGGCACGTACCACTGGAGCCCCACATGCTATGCCTGCTGACACAGCTCATGGTCCCTGGCCCTGGAAAGCAAAGGGGGTTGTGCCATGCTTGGCTGCAGCTCAGCGTGCCCTGGTGGGAAGATGAGCCTTGGCCATCATCCTTCCCACTGGGACAGGGAAGAATGTGGAAAACCATCAAAAGCGGCGGAGATTCCTGGAGAACCAGAGCAAATGGAGAGCAGAGATCTCTGTTGCTGTTAAAGGGAGATGGCAGAAGGGAACAGCCATGACCCCGGCTGGATCTACCGGCCTCTGAGGTGTTCAGCTCCTCTTGGGTCTCCCCAGGCTCTCCAAGCCCAGCAAGAGGCAGCACCTCCAGCCCAACAGCACCTAAAACTTGGGGATGCCCAACCCTGTAGCACTTCCAGCACCCAGCCTCAGCAGGACCCCACCACTGGAACCCCCTGCCCACGGCAGCAGCAGGGCAGTGACCAAGCCCCGATGGGCACCTTGGTGTCCCCACTGAACATGGCTGCACCTCACCGCGGTGCTAAGCTCACGGCAAGGGTGCGCCCAGAGAAGCTGTGGCTGCCCCATCCCTGGCAGTGTTCAAGGCCAGGTTGGACACAGGGGCTTGGAGCAAGCTGCTCCAGTGGAAGGGGTCCCTGCCCGTGGCAGGGGTTGGAGCTGGAGGAGCTTTAAGGTCCCTTGAACCCAAACCAGGCCGGGATTCCGGGATTCAATGGTGCCAAGCATCCCCCCAGCTCTCGCTGCCTCTGGGTACGTTTCAGGGCCGGAAGAGCTGACCCGTGACTCTGTTGCAGCAAAATGAAGCTGGGGGACAGCGCTGCCCAGCTCGGGGCACGCTCCCCTCTCCCCGGCCGCTGGCTCCCTGGGGCTGTCTGCTCACAGGACACGGGGTGCGTGCAGCCCCGATGGGCGAGCGCGGGCACGCCTGCGGCTGCAAACCGCGGCTGAGCGAGGAGGCCCGAGGCTGCAGAGATCGGAGGTTCCTGCGGGTCTTGCGGAGACCTGAGCTGCCGAGGAGCCAGCCCCAAGCGAGCCCCCACGGCAGCACGGAGGCTGCAGCCTGAGCCCAGCCTTTACCAGCCACCGGAGAATCTCCTCCTCCGCAGCCGGGTGCCGCGAGGCACGAACCTGCCAGGAACGCTGCTCCTGACTCATCCTCTGCTCCTAGAAGGGCTCCTGCTCTCCTTCTTCCCAGCCCGGCATTTCCCACATGGGCTCTGCACCTGACTGAGGGGCAGGGAGGGCAGCGCCGGGTGGGCGAAGTGAGATGTCTGCCGGGTTTCGGGATGGGGCTTTCCATACGGAAGCTGTGGTTGCCCCACCTTGGTGCTGCCAAACACCCCACCTGGGTGCTGCTGTACGTCAGCCTCAGGTGAGGCAGCAGTGGCTCTCCCTGGTACCCAACACCACAGCTCCACTGGTCCCCAGCACTCCGGTTCCACTGGTTCCCATCACCTGGCACCACCTGTCCCCATCACCCTGGCACTGCCAGTCCCCATCATTCCTGGTGTACAACCAGTCCCCATCACCCTGGCACTGCCGGTCCCCATCATTCCTGGTGTACCACCAGTCCCCATCACCTTGGCTCTGCCGATCCCCATCATTCCTGGTGTACCACCAGTCCCCATCACCCTGGCACTGCTGGTCCCCATCACTCTGGTACCACTGGTTCCCAACACCCAAGCACTGCCAGTCCCCAGCACCCCAGCATGTTATCCCCATCACCCTGGTTCCACTGGTCCCCAGCACAGTTGGTCCCCATGACCCCAGCACCAGGTCCCCAGTGCACCAGAAGCCACAACACCTCAAGGACCAGGTTTTCCCATCCCCTGGGGACAAAGCAAAAGGCTCTCCCCTTTCCTGCAAAAACACAACTCCTACTAAAGCTTCCTTCACCCCTTCCAGCACGCGGGGCAGAGGGGACCCGCTGGCTCCTGATCCCGGCACATCCCACATGCTCGTCCCACAGCCAAGCCCGGGAGGAAACAAGCCCCAGCTGTGCCTCTGCTCAGCTACTGCGACCGGGCTCTTCCCCAGGAGGTCTCAGACCAGCGCAGGGAGGGACTTGCCCCATCGCCCCGGAGCCAGGGCAGAACAAGCTGCACTTCACAGCCTGGAGGTGCAAAGGCCAACAGCAGGCTCCCGGCTCCCGACCCCGATCCATGGGGATCGCTGTCCCCCTCCCCGTGACCCGCTCGCCCCAAAGCGGCCGCGGGGCCGGTTTCGCACACGGGGTGTGTTTACGTGTCCCCGTGTCAGCCCACATCTGTGTTTACGTGTGTGTTTCCGTGCGTGTGCGTGTGGCTCCGTGTGTGTGGCGGGGTTTCGGGTGCGTACGGGCGTCTCTTCGCATCGGGCTCTCAGCTAACCTCTTGGAACACGACAACAAGGCTGGAAGCCTGGCAGCTGTTCCCAGAGCCCCGCTCCAGCGCCGCTTCCAGACAGCCGGTAACCGCAGGGCTGATGACCGAGCACACACGCTTCTCTTCGGGCCTTCTCCTCTGCGCAGTCACATGCTCCGAGACAAAGGAAATTAAAGGCTCTATCGATAGCAATAACCATGTCCCGGGAGCAGCGGCTCCGCAGGGGGCTGGGAAGTGCCGGCAGCGCTGGGACACGGGGCTCGCGGTGCTGCCGGGGCCGTGGCACCGGGGCTCAGCCGGAGGTTGGGTGGGCATTGGCAGCCCCGCTGAGCCCGGGGGAGGCCTGGGAGGGCTCCAGCACCGCCGCGGCGCTGGCCACGGCCACGTTGGATTTCTCATGGAAACTTGTGCAGGATCCTGCCAGGTCCCAGGGATTTTTCCCTTGCCTTTGCCCAGATTCTCTCCAAGCAGCGCCTCTGATTCCCTCCAGCTGCCTGCACGCGAGCGCCGCAGCGAGCGCCCGCAGCCGGGATGGGAGCTGCTGCTGTCACCGGTGTCCCCACGGGCTCTGTTAGTGGGGAAGCCGGGGGGACAGCGAGGTGTCAGCACAGGGTTAGGGGCTGAGACGGGGGGGGGGACATACCAAAGTGATGGGAGAGCGCTGGGAAGCAGGGCTGGTGCGGGCAGGCTGCAGAGCGGGGATGAGCGCGATCTGACAGCAGCTGGCAGGGCACAGGAACCCCTCTTCCTGCAGCTGCAGCTCATGGGATAACTCGAATGCTGCCAGCACGGGACACAGCCTGCCAGAAAGGATGGAAAAGCCCAGCGCTGGCTTAGCCTGGACAAGGTGAGGTGGGAGCTGCAGGGGCCGTGGTGAGCAGGGCAGAGCCACCAGCGGAGGGCGGAACAAGAAACTGGGATTTGAACACAGCAAGAGACATCCTGGGGAGATTTCCCTATGGCCAGGCTGGGGATGCGCTGGGATTGCTGCCCGTGGAACAGCCCCAGGAAGCAGCAGGATGGGGATGCAGAGCAGCTCGCTCTCACCAAGGAGCTGCTCACCACTGCATCTCCAAGCATCGGCCCCCGATTCCATGGACTTTCTCCCAACCTCAACCTCCCGGCTGGGATGCGCAACTGGTTTGGTTGAGAGCGGATGGAGGCGAGAGGAGACATCCAGGGTGAGGGGCTGGATTCAGGCAGCTGAATGGTCTAAATCCCTTCTGGAGCCAGGAGGTTGTTTTGGCTTCCTTACAGCAGTGTCCAGCCCACTGTGGGAAAGCGATGAGCAGCGATCACCACTCTGCCTCGCTACAGGCGGTGTCACAAGGCTCAGAGAGGGGCTGCGGAACCAAGGCATTTTTGGCTGAAACCCATCTTTTCATAAGCACAGGGGAGGAGGGACCCAGCTGGGCAGAAAGCAGGCAGGGCAGTTCCCAGCTCCTTCAAACCCTAACCTGAGCCTGTACCTCTCAGCCCAGCCTCTCCTGCCCCATCCGCACCCGGCTGCCTGCACGGACTCATCCCACCTTTACCCCCCAAACCCCAACCTTTCCACTCACCCCTTTTAGGGGGAATTCTGCAAAGTGCAGCCCAAAAGGCAGCGAGGCCCCAGCAGCACCCAGGGCCTTT